TGGTACGGTACATGGACTGATGGCACGGCACATGGACTGATGGCACGGCACATGGAATGATGGCACGGCACATGGACTGATGGCACGGCACATGGACTGATGGTACGGCACATGGACTGATGGCACGGCACATGGACTGATGGTACGGTACATGGACTGATGGCACGGCACATGGACTGATGGCACGGCACATGGACTGATGGCACGGCACATGGACTGATGGCACGGCACATGGACTGATGGCACGGCACATGGACTGATGGCACGGCACATGGACTGATGGTACGGCACATGGACTGATGGTACGGCACATGGAATGATGGCACGGCACATGGACTGGCACATGGACTGATGGCACGGCACATGGACTGATGGCACGGCACATGGACTGATGGTACGGTACATGGACTGATGGCACGGCATATGGACTGATGGCACGGCACATGGACTGATGGCACGGCACATGGACTGATGGCACGGCACATGGACTGATGGCACGGCACATGGACTGATGGCACGGCACATGGACTGATGGCACGGCACATGGACTGATGGTACGGCACATGGACTGATGGTACGGTACATGGACTGATGGCACGGCACATGGACTGATGGCACGGCACATGGAATGATGGCACGGCACATGGACTGGCACATGGACTGGCACATGGACTGATGGCACGGCACATGGACTGATGGCACGGCACATGGAATGATGGCACGGCACATGGACTGGCACATGGACTGATGGCACGGCACATGGACTGATGGCACGGCACATGGACTGATGGTACGGTACATGGACTGATGGCACGGCACATGGACTGATGGCACGGCACATGGACTGATGGTACGGTACATGGACTGATGGCACGGCACATGGACTGATGGAACGGCACATGGACTGATGGCACGGCACATGGAATGATGGTACGGCACATGGACTGATGGCACGGCACATGGACTGATGGCACGGCACATGGACTGATGGCACGGCACATGGACTGATGGCACGGCACATGGACTGATGGCACGGCACATGGACTGATGGTACGGTACATGGACTGATGGCACGGCACATGGACTGATGGCACGGCACATGGAATGATGGCACGGCACATGGACTGATGGCACGGCACATGGAATGATGGTACGGCACATGGACTGATGGCACGGCACATGGACTGATGGCACGGCACATGGACTGATGGCACGGCACATGGACTGATGGCACGGCACATGGACTGATGGCACGGCACATGGACTGATGGCACGGCACATGGACTGATGGCACGGCACATGGACTGATGGCACGGTACATGGACTGATGGTACGGCACATGGACTGATGGCACGGCACATGGACTGATGGCACGGCACATGGACTGATGGCACGGCACATGGAATGATGGTACGGCACATGGACTGATGGTACGGCACATGGAATGATGGCACGGCACATGGACTGGCACATGGACTGATGGCACAGCACATGGACTGATGGCACGGCACATGGACTGATGGTACGGTACATGGACTGATGGCACGGCACATGGACTGATGGCACGGCACATGGACTGATGGCACGGCACATGGACTGATGGCACGGCACATGGACTGATGGTACGGTACATGGACTGATGGCACGGCACATGGACTGATGGTACGGCACATGGACTGATGGCACGGCACATGGACTGATGGCACGGCACATGGACTGATGGCACGGCACATGGACTGATGGCACGGCACATGGACTGATGGCACGGCACATGGACTGATGGTACGGCACATGGACTGATGGTACGGCACATGGACTGATGGCACGGCACATGGACTGATGGCACGGCACATGGACTGATGGTACGGCACATGGACTGATGGTACGGTACATGGACTGATGGCACGGCACATGGACTGATGGCACGGCACATGGACTGATGGCACGGCACATGAACTGATGGCACGGCACATGGACTGGCACATGGACTGATGGCACGGCACATGGACTGATGGCACGGCACATGGACTGATGGCACGGCACATGGACTGATGGCACGGCACATGGACTGATGGCACGGCACATGGACTGATGGCACGGCACATGGAATGATGGTACGGCACATGGACTGATGGCACGGCACATGGACTGATGGCACGGCACATGGACTGATGGCACGGCACATGGACTGATGGCACGGCACATGGACTGATGGCACGGCACATGGACTGATGGTACGGTACATGGACTGATGGCACGGCACATGGACTGATGGCACGGCACATGGAATGATGGCACAGCACATGGACTGATGGCACGGCACATGGAATGATGGTACGGCACATGGACTGATGGCACGGCACATGGACTGATGGCACGGCACATGGACTGATGGCACGGCACATGGACTGATGGCACGGCACATGGACTGATGGCACGGTACATGGACTGATGGTACGGCACATGGACTGATGGCACGGCACATGGACTGATGGCACGGCACATGGACTGATGGCACGGCACATGGAATGATGGCACGGCACATGGACTGATGGCACGGCACATGGAATGATGGTACGGCACATGGACTGATGGCACGGCACATGGACTGATGGCACGGCACATGGACTGATGGCACGGCACATGGACTGATGGCACGGCACATGGACTGATGGCACGGTACATGGACTGATGGTACGGCACATGGAATGATGGTACGGTACATGGACTGATGGCACGGCACATGGACTGATGGCACGGCACATGGACTGATGGCACGGCACATGGAATGATGGTACGGCACATGGACTGATGGTACGGCACATGGAATGATGGCACGGCACATGGACTGGCACATGGACTGATGGCACAGCACATGGACTGATGGCACGGCACATGGACTGATGGTACGGTACATGGACTGATGGCACGGCACATGGACTGATGGCACGGCACATGGACTGATGGCACGGCACATGGACTGATGGCACGGCACATGGACTGATGGTACGGTACATGGACTGATGGCACGGCACATGGACTGATGGTACGGCACATGGACTGATGGCACGGCACATGGACTGATGGCACGGCACATGGACTGATGGCACGGCACATGGACTGATGGCACGGCACATGGACTGATGGCACGGCACATGGACTGATGGTACGGCACATGGACTGATGGTACGGTACATGGACTGATGGCACGGCACATGGACTGATGGCACGGCACATGGACTGATGGCACGGCACATGGACTGATGGCACGGCACATGGACTGATGGCACGGCACATGGACTGATGGCACGGCACATGGACTGATGGCACGGCACATGGACTGATGGTACGGCACATGGACTGATGGTACGGTACATGGACTGATGGCACGGCACATGGACTGATGGCACGGCACATGGACTGATGGCACGGCACATGAACTGATGGCACGGCACATGGACTGATGGTACGGCACATGGACTGATGGTACGGCACATGGAATCATGGCACGGCACATGGACTGGCACATGGACTGATGGCACGGCACATGGACTGATGGCACGGCACATGGACTGATGGTACGGCACATGGACTGATGGCACGGCACATGGACTGATGGTACGGTACATGGACTGATGGCACGGCACATGGACTGATGGCACGGCACATGGACTGATGGCACGGCACATGGACTGATGGCACGGCACATGGACTGATGGCACGGCACATGGACTGATGGCACGGCACATGGACTGATGGTACGGCACATGGACTGATGGTACGGTACATGGACTGATGGCACGGCACATGGACTGATGGCACGGCACATGGACTGATGGCACGGCACATGGACTGATGGCACGGCACATGGACTGATGGCACGGCACATGGACTGATGGCACGGCACATGGACTGATGGCACGGCACATGGACTGATGGTGCGGCACATGGACTGATGGTACGGTACATGGACTGATGGCACGGCACATGGACTGATGGTACGGCACATGGAATGATGGCACGGCACATGGACTGATGGCACGGCACATGGACTGATGGTACGGTACATGGACTGATGGCACGGCACATGGACTGATGGCACGGCACATGGACTGATGGCACGGCACATGGACTGATGGCACGGCACATGGACTGATGGTACGGTACATGGACTGATGGCACGGCACATGGACTGATGGCACGGCACATGGACTGATGGCACGGCACATGGACTGATGGCACGGCACATGGACTGATGGCACGGCACATGGACTGATGGCACGGCACATGGACTGATGGCACGGCACATGGACTGATGGCACGGCACATGGACTGATGGTACGGCACATGGACTGATGGTACGGTACATGGACTGATGGCACGGCACATGGACTGATGGCACGGCACATGGACTGATGGCACGGCACATGGACTGATGGCACGGCACATGGACTGATGGCACGGCACATGGACTGATGGCACGGCACATGGACTGATGGCACGGCACATGGACTGATGGCACGGCACATGGACTGATGGTACGGCACATGGACTGATGGTACGGTACATGGACTGATGGCACGGCACATGGACTGATGGCACGGCACATGGACTGATGGCACGGCATATGGACTGATGGCACGGCACATGGACTGATGGCACGGCACATGAACTGATGGTACGGTACATGGACTGATGGCACGGCACATGGACTATGACGCAAGACTCATTGGTGATGATGGTGCTCACGGTTAATGAGAGGGGGGTGTGGGGAGAAGGGGGAAGGGAGAGGAGGCATGTAGGTGGATGCATGTGACAAGGCGTCATTGTGACTCCTGAATGCGACAAGAAGTTTTTGCGACTACTTCTGATTACGGTGTTGAGAGGGTAAGAAGAAACGGGTGGATAAAGTGGCGGTATGAATAAGCAGTAAGAGGGTTGGGGAAGAAAGCTGGGAGAGGAAGGGAGAATGACGAGATGTTGAGCGTAAGAACACTTACAGCTGACGATCGTGAGAGAGGGATGAGTTGGTGGGGGTGGGCAGTGATGGAGGGAAGCATCTGGTCCAAAGAAGGAACTGGTTCGAGAATGCTGAAGCATCTGCCTGTCCTGGTCCTAGAATGTTGATGCTGAGGGTGATGGCGATTGGGAAGCAAAGAAACAATGCCTGAGGTAGTTGAGCGGATTACACAGCAGATGGGACCATGACATGGCATGTGGAACGATGATACGGAATATAGGAGGATGATTGGACACGTGGGATGGGATAGTAACGTAACACATACTACTCAGCTGCACTCATTAAACAAAATGTTCACCTACCCCTCGTTCAGTCATGAAACCACAATCTCACCTACCCCTCACATCCTTGCATCACCTACCTCTCTCCTCACCCAACCTCACCAGAACGAGAAGGTGCGAGCATATGAGCCAATGCATACCATGCCATGGCAGTTGCAACCCTTGTAGAAGGTGTGCCATTTCCCCTCCTAGAAGGTGTGCCATTTCCCCTCCTAGAAGGTGTGCCATTTCCCCTCCTAGAAGGTGTGCCATTTCCCCCTGACGAAACAGAGCTGGAAGGAATGCCACCGTGTGCCATCCATCCATCCGTCCACTGCCTGGACTTAGACAAGGAGATGTGGCTGGAGCAAAGCACAGAGAGAAGGGTTAAGAAAGGGCGGGGAGGGGGGTGGGGGATGGATGGACAAAGAGGGAAAAGGGTTATGGGGCGTGCATAAAAAGCATCACCTATGCGTGTTTCTCTCATCATGCGCGTACAGAATTCCAGATGCTTCGCATGAGATCGTATTGCCATCATTCTTGAAGCTTTACTTCTCTCATCCCCGCCCCGCAATGTTGCGTTCTTCATGCCCATGTTCTCACTATCGAATACCCACTGGCATGCTGCTGTAATCATGTTCCCATACGCGGCATGCATATGGCAGCAACCTTGGTCAAGAGGGAGGGACACTGGGAGAGGGCCTGAGCAATGTCAGGGAGGTGTGGGAGGGAAAGAGAAGCAGAGGGAGGGCAGGGGAAGAGAGGGGAGAGAGGGAGCGGAGAGAGGGGAGAGAGGGGAGGGAGGATATGGGATGCATGGAATGGAAACAAGGGGCAGGGAGTCAAGCACTCGTGCAAGCACTCACGTGGGCGAGGTTGGTCATGGTTCCCTCCCAGCTGCACCACGCTGATCTGCCCGAGCCTCCTCGCCCCTCCTCACACATCCACTCCCACGCCCCTCCGCTCCTCCGCCCCCTTCTCTGCTCCGCCCCGCACATTTGCGTGCTTCCCTCCGTGCCACCCACCTACATCCCCGCCACTAGCAGCAGCACTATGAGTGGCAGCTAGAGACGCTAGTGGCGGGGTGGGTCAGCACGTGGGGATGCGGGAGGTGCAAGCAGCAGCACTCCCGCCAGTCCGTCTGGGCCCGGAAACGAGGAGCATGCGGTCAGAGAGAGAGAGAGAGAGAGAGAGAGAGAGAGAGAGAGAGAGAGAGAGAGAGAGAGAGAGAGAGAGAGAGAGAGAGAGAGAGAGAGAGAGAGAGAGAGAGAGAGAGTTCTGAGGATGTTCCTGGTGGTGACAGTGTTGCTGGTGGGGCACGGCTGCTGGTGCTGGTGATGCTGGTGGTTGCGGTGGTCTCAAGGGCGTTTGACTGTTGAATAGACAACGAGAGGAAGAAATGGGAGACATGATGGCCGGGCGGGTGGAGGAGAGGGGGTGAGGGAAGAGGAAAAAGGGAGCGTGGACGTAATAAAATGGTGGTGGTGGTGGTGCTTTCATGAAGGCTTGGAACGTAGAGCTGAAAACACGGGAGGGCAGGAGGGAAGAAGAAGAGAGCACATGGGGGGAAGGAGACCGATAGTGTAGGCGATGGGAGAAGGGAGAGCTGGGTGCAGGAAAGGGGAGATTCGGCAGGTAGGGGAAGACAAGGGAAGGCGCAAGAGAGAAGGTTCAGCAAAGGAGGGCCATACTTCTGGGGATGGTGCGGTTGAGAGCGGTGGTGTGGGCCCTGAACAACAGGCGTGTCTGGTCGTCCTGCTGCTATGCACTGGAAGAGAGAGGGAAAGGGGTGGGGAAGAAGCGGGATGAGGAAGGGGGAAGGAGAGGGGGGAGAAGCGGGATGAGTAGGGGGGTATAGGGAAGAGGAGGGTGGGGGGAGGGGAGGGGGAATCAGGGGAGGGGAAGAGGGGGAACAAGGAAAATATAGGGGACAGTGTTGTGAAGAGATGCAGGACAGGAATGAAGCTGTGGGTGGGCTGAGAGCAAGTAAAAGGGAGAAGCTTCTTGGAAAATTGAGAGGTTCCAGAAACACACAGACTATGATGTTTTAGCCAGGGAAAGAAGGAATTTTTACACAGTGAGCCCACCAGGCCTCGAGCGTTGCGTGTGGCAGCTTCACGCGTCACATCTCGGCTGAATGACGTGGCGATACTGAGCACACGAATGGGCGGGCATTTCAAAGGCGCGGGCCGCCAAAGCGTCGTCTGAATGGGCGGACGGAAAAGGAGAGGAGGGAGGGGCGAGACTGACGATACCAAACTCATGTGACGATATGTGAGGTGCTTCAAAAACCTTCAAATGACTCTGAGAGGAAGGAGCGAAGACAGGCAACCAGCCAGGGACGAGGCACGTCGTCTGTGAGAAACATGGTTGCCGATATTTAACTCGGAAGTCGAGCTCTGATGTTGAGACGTTGAGCAACCTATATGAGTTTTCCGCGAGGGAAAGGGAACGACGGAAGGAAGGCTCGCTGTGGCTAAGAATTTCCCGAGGTCGCAAACGTGGCGCTCGACATAAGGGAAGAGGAAGAGATTCGCGGAAGCTCGGTAACTCGCGCGGCGAATGATGGTTCATGTGCTTCATCACCGTGTGTTTCGAGCTGCTTCGGAAACCCATTGTTCTGGTGCTCGAAAGAAGTCCGTGCCTCGATAATTCCCTAAGACGCGTAGCAGCGAGTTGAAGTGCAAGCGTAATAGGCCTGCTGTACCTGATCGGTGGTAACCACATCTGTGAGTGGTCCCGTTTCACGACACTTGGACTGACCCACCTATGCCTGGGGACACGTTTATAATAACGTAGATCTTAGCGCGCGCGTCTGGAGCCATGTGCTACTCGGAATTTGAGCTTAGAAAGCCGCAGCTGAAGGTACTTTGAAGCCGAAAAGTAAGGGCGTATTCCTAGCTTCGGGTCATCCGGTTGGAAATTCAACGCGGTTCGGCTTGAGATGTTGGGAAGGGGGTTTGGAGAAAAACAGTGATTGGCTCACGAGGGGCGACAAAAAAATGATTCCGCTAGAGCTTCGGGCATTTCGTAGGTGGCGGGAGGGGGTGAAATGGCGGGAGTGGGTGAAACCGAATGGCGGGAGGGATGAAACAGATTGGCGGGAGGGGGGGGAAACGAAATTGCGGGGGAGGGGGGAAACAAAATTGCGGGGGAGGGGGGAAACGAATTTCGACGGGGAGGGGGAAATGAAATTGCGGGGGCGTGGGGAAACGAAATTGCGGGGGAGGGGGGAAACGAATTTCGACTTGAAGGGGTTGAAAGCACACCTCGTAACCCACTCAGTCAAGGGATAACCTTTGATGCACATTCAGCTGAATGTGCCCCCGGTTTTAGAAAGCCGCAGCTGAAGGCCCTTTGAAGCCGAAAAGTAAGGGCGTATTCCTAGCTTCGGGTCATCCGTTGTTTGTGTCATCCGAAATTGTGGGAGCCAATCGGAAAGCCCGCGGTTTGAGATTTGAGTTTTTCGATTGGATCCCACAATTTCGGATGACATGAAGGCGGGATGACCCGAAGCTAGGAATACGCCCTAAGTAGCGTCCTGATATTGAGAACAATTCTGCTGATACGAGAAACTCTTCTGTTGGATTGAAGCAATATGCTGGGTTGAAATCTGGGTCTAGTGTCAGTGGTGTGAGTGAGCCGAATGAAGAGTTGGCGAAGAGCTGTTTCCTGCGAACGTGTTACCAAGACTCGTTCGTCCGTACACGAAAGGGCTTGGGGCGATTTTGTTTCTTCGAAAATCTGTCGGCTTCGTCGTCCATGTGGCTCAACGAACGAAACGGTAACACAAGCCGAGTGAACATGCTGGGCCACATGGGTTCCTCCACGACGAAATGCGGCGAACCTCAGCGACAAGACAGCGAAACTACGGCGGAAGAACCAAGCCCGAGATCCAGAATCCACCATCTTCAAGCTACGAGGCACGAGAGTAGCCATCACTAGTCAAGCTCCCTCCAGCCAGATCTGGCCTTCACCGCCATTGCTCTACTAAACCACCACCTGCTTCCCAATCGCTCTAGTCATTAGTTTGCAGGACCGTACGAACGGCTCTAGTTTCCTAATCGATCTACCTTACCGTAGTTCACAGCAACTTGAGAACAATGTCTCAAGCTGGAACAGATCCATCGTCCAAGTTGCGAGCATCATTCAAACGACTGCCGAACGACCTCATCTTCCGTTGAGATACCACGAGTCAAGTCACACTCGTTTATAGGGTTTAGGCTTCAAGGTCTCTGCATCCAGTTCTTTCATAGGATCTTAGCAATCTCGTCTGCTATGGAAACGATGGAGACAGCGACACATATTCACGACCTTCCCAACGAAGTCCTCGCTAGGATACTATGGCATAGTGAGGAGTCAACACCTTGGAAGTCGGACAGTGACGCATTATGGTCTCGGCATTCATTGTACCAGAAGCCACTGTACCTTCGCTCGATCGTTCTAGACGAAGATCCAATTCCTGAGGAAGAGTCGTATCCAGTATTGTCCCCCTCCGCGGGTCCAACCGCTGCCGAGATCTTCCTCGTGTCGTCGGTGTGCCGTCGTTGGCGCGATGTAGCTCACCATGACGTCTCCACCCTGCTCGTCGAACGAAAACATGCCATTTCCCTCCAACAACTCTCGAATGCCGTCGCACGCTTCCCGAATCTCACCCATCTCCATCTGTGCGACGACAGCGTGGAAACCCTAGACGACTCCTTCCTCGCTCACCTCGCATCATCCTGTACTAAGCTCACGATTCTCCACGTGGGACGCGGGATCACTCAACATCGGGACTATGTCGGTCCGAAGCACCAGCACCCGATCACCGAGGCTGGTCTGGATCGCTTCTTCCAGCGATGCACGCAGCTGGAGCAGCTTTCACTGCTCTGCCTCCATCGGGACACTGAGCTACCCGCTTCCTTCTTCCGCCTCACGCGTCTTCACACCCTGGCTTTAACAGCCGCCTCCGCCTTAGAAGCTCCGGACCTGGAGACCCTCGGCTCGCTCACCACTCTCCATATCGCCTCCGCGGAGTTGAGCGAGGAGCAACTGGCCAACGTGCGTCGTCTTTCCAGCATCACCAGCCTTTCACTCTCTCCCGCGACCTCGTTTTTTCCTGCCAGTGGTGACTCGGGCTCGGCTGCCCTCGCCATCGCACAGCTACCGCTGATCAAATCGCTGGACATCGGCAGAATGGTGCTGTCGGATTGGCCATGCACGAGCCTGGAACGGCTGCGGATATCAGACTGCGGGGAATTGGAGCGGCTTCCGGACGCCATTGCGGAGTTGCTGCCGCGTCTGCGTGAGCTGACCGTTTCCAGGTGCGAGGCCTTGGAGGAGCTGCCGGAAGGTTTCTGTTCCCTGAAGCACCTCGAGACCTTGTCAGTCATCAAGTGCGACCAATTTCGCCGCCTGCCTGAAAACATTGGGAGGTTGTCTGCCCTGAAGACTCTGGTTCTTGGAGAGCTGCCCGTCTCGAGCCTCCCTGACTCCATGTGCGAGCTCGGCTCTCTAGAGACCTTCTTCCTGCTATCCTGCAAATCAATCCGCGAGCTGCCAGCAGATTTCTGCTGCCTCACGGCTCTCACGACTCTCTGCCTGGGGTACGTGGCGCTTCCAGCGGACATGGGACGCCTGAGTAACCTCCACACGCTGCTTGTGAGAGACATCCTCGGACATAAGCATCTCCCATGCTCGTTATCCGAGGTCGCATCGCTCACGAGGCTTGAGCTGCACCTGTGCGGAGTGGAGGAGCTGCCAGAGGGCGTGGGTGATCTCAGCAGCCTGCGCGAGCTGCACGTCTCATGGTGCCCTCAGCTCACGGCTCTTCCAGCGTCCGTGACGGACCTGACTGCCCTGGAAGCTCTCTCTCTCGCTGACTGCGAAAATCTGGCCTCGGTGCCCACAAGGCTGGACGGCCTGACACGGTTCAAGCGGCTGGAGGTGGCCCGATGTGACAGGCTGACACAGCCTCCTCTAGTCCTGCCGGCTTCGGTTGAATGGCTTAGTTGGGGAAATTACAGTCAAGCGATGGCTCTGCCAGAGGTCTCCCGGCTGACGGGGCTTGGAACGCTCCGCCTGGACGTAGTTGCGGTGGCGTGTGGGGTCGCTGTGAGCAGGAGCCTGTCGCATGTGGAGCATTTACGGCTGTCATTGGGAGGCGATGCGGAGGAGCTTCCATTCGCCTTGACGTTCCTCTCCCGCCTGCGCACGCTGATCATTGACTGCGCGTGGAGTCTCCAAAGGCTGCCGGCCGACATCGGGTCCGCAGTGCCGCAGCTGCGGAAGCTGCTGCTGATAAGTGCGTACAAGTTGAGGGAGCTGCCAGCGAGTGTGAGTGCGCTGCAGAACCTGACGTCCTTGGGGGTTTTTGACACGCCCAACCTGGCTTCTCTTCCGCCTGCCATTGGTGCCTTATCTGGGCTGCGGGAGCTGCTGATTGGATCCTGCAAACAGCTTGAGCAGCTGCCCGCCTCGCTCACACAGCTTGCCCGCCTGAACCAGCTTACCATTTTAAACTGCCCCATTCGCTCCCTGTGTCCCACTGCTGCACAGTTCACGCGGCTCAGATCCCTCAATCTGTCAGGCTGTGCGCAGCTGGAGGCATTGCCGGGGGATTTGGGTGAGCTGAAGGCACTTCGGATGCTGGATGTGTATGACTGTAGGCTTGTGAAGGACAGTGTTGGGTCAGTGCTCCCCAGAAGCATCAATGAGGTGTTCGGGCTGAGAATATGCAAGTAGGTAGGTACCGTACCAGTAAGGTACTATGGCATGTACCGTACCATAGCATCTCTTTGATAGGCTGTTTCCTTGGCTGTGATGTGATGGCTCTGAGGTGGGCAGTACGGATAGGAAGGCAAGGCGGGGAACGAATACAATCTGAAGAGACAGTTAGGGAGGGTTCCGATCAGGGGTTTTTTTATCAGTGTAATTTACTCTGTTTCTCTGAAAATCAGAGTGGTTTTTAGGGGGGCACTCTGTACCTGCTGGGTATTTTTTTTTAGAGTTACTTGTTCTCTGATCAGCCAGGGTTTTTGTGTAAGTTCACTCTGGAGCGCCAGTGTTCCTTTCTCGAATAGTGAGTTTACTCTGAACGGGGGATACATGTACCCCCCCGACCCCCCTAGGTCCCCCTTATCCCCACGATGCCGGTTTGGGCCGGAGCGCAGGGGATATCAGTGTTGTTTCGCCCGTGTGTTGGCACAACCTGAGGCGCCGATTGGCCGGAATGGCATATTTCGTGCCAGCGCACTCAACTGGCCACCCAGTGGATACATCGCTGGCTTTGCGTACCCCATCAGCAATGAACAACTCCAACTTTCAGGCATGATACGGCAGCTTCCTGTGGTGCACTGAATTCGTGCGCGGCGCGCACATCCACACCTGTTGCTCGGCAGGCATACGGGGTCACCACCAAACCCCATCCTGTCTGAGCCATTATGTTTCTTCCACCCAGCACTGCTCTTCAACGTTCCAGTCTAGCGAGTGTTCCGAGGGCTTCTCCAGCCACAGCCCCGCCTCCCTAACCTTTTTTTTTGCCGTCAATATCATGGATACTAGCGACGCCGAGGGAGACGCGGCTGATCCCGACGACAGGCCGACATGTATCACACCCCCTGCGACAGGGCTTCATTTTCTCCGCGCTGTGCATGCAGATAACGCTCGCGATGAGGAGGAGCTGGGCGATGGCGGTACCGAATGGATGCGCCGTCCTGGCAAGGAAAGTGGCGGCATGGAAGATGCGTACGACGATTGGTGTCCTTCTCCGCGCCCGATGAATGACGCTGCTGAGTCCGACGGTGTTGAGGAGTGGATCGCCTCGCCGCGAAACGAGGTTGCTGCAGAGCCGGCTGAAACGGTTGCAACGCAGGTCGTCGATGCGGCCACTCCTGAGTCATCCGGTTCAGTCGCTGTGAAGAAGCGACGGTACACGCAGCAGGTTTTGCAGTGGGGAACACCGCCTCCGAAGCCCGTCGCTCCACCTCCCCGTGCTGCCCCACCCCCTCATTCGTCCCCTTACAGACGAGGAGAAGAAGGAGAAGGCGTACCTGAAGGCGCAGAAGAGCTACAAGTCTGATTGGCTGCCGAAGTTTGACTGGCTGATTCTGGACAAGACGCCAGAGGGTGACCCGTGCCTGCGCTGCAGTGTCTGCATGGAGCACGGGAAGGACAACGCGCGTTACGGTCGCAATGGCGCTGGCGGTCGTGATCTGCAGATCGGGTCGATGCGGTGGGACGAGAACAGCGCGAAGCACGAGGACGCCATGAACAAGCAGGCAAACCTTCTGCAGAAGATCGTGGACCAGAAGAAGATTGAAGACTTCGCGAATGGAGATCCGGAAGGCTGTCGCGTCGCGGTACTCATGCGCGCCATGCGTTTTGTGTGCCGTACCGACACACCCATCCACATGTACCCACAGGTCGTGCAGCTTCTCGCAGAGGAGGGGGTCGCCAACATTCCGCAACAAAGCTATGGAGTGTACATCACGCAGTGAGCTGCTGTTGACTGGTTTGTATTCGAAGCAACCGTCTTTGTTTAACGAGGCTAATGCGTTGTGCTATGTGAATGCGCAGGTACGGTTTCTCCGAGATGGCCAAGGCTCTCACCGCGTATCTGACCAGGGAGCAATTGCGCGTCCTCCACGCCTCGCCCTTCATCGGCCTCATGTGCGACGAGAGTACCGATCGCGCCCGTGGCAAACACATGATTGTGTTTGTCACGTTCCTCAAGAACAGCGTGGTTGTAACCGAGTTCCTCGCGTTACTAACCGTGCAGCAATGTGATGCGGCATCGCTCATGGGCGCACTGCTCCAGCATCTCGAGACAGTGGGCGTCGACCTGAAGAAGATATCCGGAATGTCCACGGACGGCGCGGCAGTGATGATCGGGGGCACGTCCGGCGTTGTCACGCGACTGCGCGTCCACGTCCCCCACCTGGTCGGCTGCCACTGCATTGCGCATCGGTACTTGTGTCGTGGCTGATAATTTTAAATGACCAGTTTTACGTTAGTCGATCTTTAAAGTAGTGTAACAATCCTTTTCTGCTCACCCCACTATTGCTTGCAGCGAAGCACTTGCTGTGAAGGAGACGGCCGAAGCCGAGCAGTTCCAAGATTTCCGGATGGTAGACAAGGCCATCCGTGCAGTGGGCGAGATCGTGGGGAGATCCACGCCGTGGTACGAGCGGTTCAAAGAGCTCCAGATCGTGATCCACAGCACCAACCTCGAGCACCACGGACTGTTCGACGTGCGCTGGCTCTCCCGTGCCGATGCGGTCAACCGGCTTGTCAAGATTTTGGGGTCGGCAATCGTGCTCTTTCTGGAGTACAAGCACAAGATCGCCTCGGTTGTGAAGACCCTGAAATTCCACTTCTGTCTGTATTTCCTGGCAGACATTTTGGGGGAGTTGAACTCCCTGAACCGTTTCTTCCAACGACGCAAGGTAAAACGTGCCCTAAAGGATTGTTGATACACGCGTTTAGTCTTGTTTAATTTTCATTTGCCCACACAGACTAACAAACCTTTTTGCGCACATGTCGGTGCGTCAGGTGGAGGTGACGCAAGTCACAGAGGAGGTCGACCGTGTGGTGTCCCTCATCGAGCACCGCTACATCGACTACGATGGTGGTTTCGGGGCGGGTCTGAGCCCCATCCTGTCTCCATTCATGGCACGTGTCAAGAAAGGGGACAAGAAGGTGAAGGTGGACGGCGTGGACGCTAGCGGCATACCCGTCAAGCACACCTTCGAGCTCAGCGAGCTGCCGGACAAGAAGCACAAGTTCGGCGGGACGCTTGCAGATTGCGTGAAGTTGGGCAAGGCCTTCGCCCGCGAGGTCGTGTACAACCTGAAGCACCGCATGCGAGATCTTCGTCGAATGGGCGGCTTGAAGCTTTTCAGGGTGGACAAGTGGCCAGCGAATCCGGACACGCGTGTGAGACGTTGTGCCACGTGGCTCCGCGAGAACTCTAAACTCTTCAACCACCAGCTGCCAGGTATGTGTATATCTTTTCGATCGTGTATGTGTGCTTTCCCTGTAATAATGCCTCTCGTCAATGTGTACCTAACATTTCCGTACATAAAAAACGCTGTGCTGCGCGTACTGTTTTGGCAGGATTCGAACTGCGGGCAGCCGAACTTGAGCTGAAAACTTTCTGCCACGTCATGAGGACGCACCACGAGGACGAGGACTTCTACCAGGCGCTGACGAACATGCTGAGGTCACGCGACTGGCGGCGAACTTACCCCAACATCATGACCCTGTGGCAGGCGTTGGCCGTCCTGCCACTCAGCACCGTCGAATGTGAGCGTGGATTTTCACGGCAGAACATCATCAAGAGCTGGCAGCGCACGGCTCTCAACGACACGCGGCTCACCGAACTCATGAGCATCCACATGCTCGATTACAACGTGGAGTGGCCAGATGTCGTGGACATCTGGCGCAAGCAGAAGAAGAGGCGGCCTACAAAATCCCCTGCACCCTTCCAACCAGCCAATGACAAGGGCGGGCCAGAGGCCAGTTCGGACGACGAACGGGAGGATGACGTGGCTTACGATGAGTGAGCTTGTGGTAGTAGGTCATTGTGTACAAAGTTTAAAAAATTCAATAATTCTGGCAATGCAACAGCAATAGCAAACAATGGGTAACCATCAAGGTTACAGATGAAAGTTACTCTGAGGTAACAGGGTTTTTAAAATGACAGCAAGTGTTACACTGACATCTAAGAGCAACGCTCGCCAGCCACTCTGGATTTAAGGGTTAGGCCAAAAACGCCTCTGGAAACAAGAGTGCTCCAAAACCAAAAAAAAGCCCTGGTTCCGATTCTCAACACCTCGAGGAATGATGCTGAGGGTAATTACTTCCCTGCCTGACTGCTGCTGCTGTGTTACCATCGCTGCCATCTATGTTACTACGGTACCTTCACTACTGGCACTGATTCTCATCACAAATTCCATATCGACAACAGTTATCACATCCTCGTTTCATGGCCCTTGTTTAGTACTTTGGTACTAGGTACCTACCATTGTTTTAGTGACATCAAGCATCCAAGTGAATGATCACTGGGCTGGGTCATGCCTAAAACGTGTAGTAGGGTGCATGCACCGCATATGTTTTGGAACGGCTGAACTCTTCCGAATATTCTGCTCTGCACCAAGCCCCATGATCTTAATCAGCCTGGACTGCCCACAGTAAAGCGCTGAAATACAACAACCAGCACCTCAGCAGCACCAACAGCCATGGCCACTTGCAGGAGAGAGAGCCATGGCACCATGCAGCATCATCTGATAGATGAAAGCAGTCGGGTGATTGTGGCTGCCACCACAGCAGCACCAACAAGCATGGCCACTTGCACTAGCGGCACCCCCACCCACCCATGGGTTGGGACCGTTCCAACTGATGGGAGGCGGGAGGGAAGCTGTATGGAAAAGTATGTGAGGGAGGCGAGAGAGGTGAGGGAGGCGAGAATGGGGGAGGTGAGGGAGGTGAGGCAAAGAGGGCATTGCAGCATGCAGATGGCAGCAGGCTTGAATGCTGGGGATGGACGGAGAGCAAGGGCCAGCCTGGAGCAACCATTCATGCGCCACCATTTAGCAGCCTGAAAAGTCTCGAGATCGACTCTTGAGACCCCTCAGGCAAGCCTCGAATGGTGGCATGGGTGCAGGACAAGGGCGCGACTGGCAAGGTGCGAGTTGAGGTGACTAAGAGAGAGTGAGCTGAGGGCACTGAGAGAGAGTGAGCTGAGGGCGTTAATGGAGAGAGGTGCATGGTGAAGAGTGTGAGGGGGGGGACTGGTCCACTTGTTGTGACTTGCCTGGGCGAGGCTGGTCATTGGACCGAGCTGCACGAGGCTGTAAGCCCCCATCTAACCTGCTCTCCATGCCACCATCCTCGCATGCCCACTCCCACGCCCTCTGTTGCCTACTCGTCTGTAAGCCCCCGTCTAACCTGCTCTACCCTCTGCTCTGCCCGCTGCTCAGAACAAGGCATCTTAAGATGCGTCTCATGTGAGCCTCCTGGTCCATCATGCATCGCATGCTGTTGCCTTGTGGTCACTGCAGTGGCTTTTCAAGAGGGGATGAAAGGGAAGGCAGATGTGGTAGAGAGGGGATTGAGTGAGGCAAGGCTGAGTCGCCAACATATGGGCTAGCACCGGCTCAAAAACTCTCATTTAGAAATAGAGGAAGTGGGAAGGCGATTGCACTGCCTGCTGCACTGGCCTGCTGCCACGCTGCTGCTGCGCTGCATCCATGCTGACTGCTCTCACAAGCATCCAACACCCTGCCAGGCCACACACACAGGCTGCAGGTACATGCCTCACCTTCAAAATGTAGTGCGAGGTGACATGAGAGTGGACGGGTAAAACGATGTACAGTGCGCTGGGCAAGAGAAGGCAAGGCAGCGAAGTGACAAGGAAGAATGAACCATCACACGCGCCTCAAGTGAGGCTGCTGCTGGTGGATCATGCATGGCATGCCATGGCCTTGTGGTGTGGTCAATGCAGTAGGTATTAAGGGAAAAGAGGCATGAAAGGGAAGGCAGATGTGGTACAGCGGGGATCGAGTGAGGCAAGGCTGAGTGACCAATAGATGGGCTGGCAATTGCTCGGAGAAAAAACTCATCTAGTGGCAGGGGAAGGGGAAGTACAATGAGTGCATTGAAGCATGGTCCAGATGAGTGCATTGAAGCATGGTCCAGATGAGTGCATTGAAGCATGGTCCAGATGAGTGCATTGAAGCATGGTCCAGATGAGTGCATTGAAGCATGGTCCAGATGAGTGCATTGAAGCATGGTCCAGATGAGTGCATTGAAGCATGGTCCAGATGAGTGCATTGAAGCATGGTCCAGATGAGTGCATTGAAGCATGGTCCAGATGAGTGCTTCCAGGTGTCAGTTGATCACAGTGCCATCCGTAAGTCTTCCCCTGCTCTGCATTGCCCTGCTCTGCCCTACTTCCCTTTACCCTGTTCTGTGCTGCTCTGCTCAACCCAAACCCCCAAGGAACAACCTCTTGAGACAGTTAGAACAAAAACGGAGGCAGATTCTTGGTGACAGTGGGAAAAAAGGTCAGGCGCCTTACCGTGGCTGCCACATCAGCAGCATAAAAGGCCACGGTCACATGCGCTGGCAGCACTCTCTCCCATGGGTTGCGGCCATTCCAACTGATGGGAGGCAGGAGGGAAGATGTGAGAGAGAAGAGAGGTGTAAGCAAGATGAGGGAGGTGAGGGAGAGGTGAGGAGATGAGAGCAATCCAGCATACTAGCCTTGCAAGCTAGAGATGGACAGAGAGCAAGGTTCAGCTTGGCGATACCATTTATGGTGCCAACTCAAATGCTCTGAAAAGTCTCGAGATCAAACCTTGAGACCTCTCAGGCAAGCATCATATGCTGGCATGGCATGGGCGCAGGTCATTTGAGTCGACTCAAAAGTGGGCGTAGGACAAGTGTGTGGTTCTTAAATGGCAAGGTGGAAGATGAGGGGACTGAGAGATCGTGAGCAGAGGGCGTGAGTGGAGAGAGGTGCACGGTGAAGAGTGTGAGGAGGCTGGAATGAAACTTGTCTACCTGTTGTGACTTTGCTGGGCGAGGTTTGTGAGGGGACCCAAGCAGCATGATGTTTTAGGCGCCTCACATATTGTCTTTTGAGGAGCCTCAAGATACTTGCATGGGCGAGGTTGATGAGCGGCCCTAGCTGCATGGGGGGAACTTTTGAGTCGACTCAAAAGCATGGGGGGAACTAGCCCTGCTCTCCATGCCACCTCCTCACAATGCCCACGCCCACGCCCTCTGCTGTCCACTTGTCTGAAGCCCTCGAAAAATCTGCTCTGCCTTCTGATCTGCCTTCTGCTCTGCCCTCTGCTCTGCCTTCTGCACTGCCCCCGGCTCTGCCCCCTATTGCCATGCCATGCCACCATCCACGCCGCTGCCCCTCAGTCAGCACTGCCCCTCAGCGCTGCCTGACACGGCGAATTCTACAGGCCCACGCAGCACCACTCGCACCACGTCGTCTGGGCGCAGAGAGGAGGAGTAGGCAGATGGCAGGAGATGCGACACTGACACGTGCGTCGCCGCTGCTATTGCCGCTGCTGACAGAGTTGCCGCTGCTGACAGCACTGCTGCTGGCGACACTGCTGCTGGCGACACTGCTGCTGACGGCACTGCTGCTGACGGCACTGCTGTTGACGGCACTGCTGTTGACGGCACTGCTGTTGACGGCACTGCTGTTGACGGCACTGACGGCACTGCTGTTGACGGCACTGCTGCTGCCATTGCTCATGGTGGGTGGAGCTTGTGCTGGCGGGTGTGTGTGGCTGCTGAAATGGGTGGCTGACAGGAGCAGACACGGGGAAACGTGGTTGAAACCAGAGGGAAAGGAAAGTAGAGCAATCATCACGTATCCACACTTCAAAAACGGAAAAAAGGAGGAGGAACTTTGTGCGGAAGAAAATTGAAAGTCCATGCACGTAAAGTAAGCGGACGCGGAAAGTAGGCGTACTGCTGAATGTAGGACGGTTGAGAGCGGAGCTGTGGGGCCCCAACAGGCGCGTCCGGAGACCTGCTGGTATGCACGGGAAATGGGATGGAGAGAGGGGGGTAGAGAGAGAGGGAGACGGAGCGCGAGGGCCGGAGAGGGAAGAGAAGGAGAGAGAGGGACGGAGAGAGAGGGGAGGAGAGCGAGTGTCAAAGAGGGCGAGTGGATCGTTGCAGACAGATGCAGGCAGGGAAGCCGGAGGGAGACGTGGGGTATTGAAGTGATTCAGTCTTATTTGAGACTCGGTGTTTCGGCATTAAACAACATAGAACAACAAACACCATTGATTTGAGACTCGGCGTTTCGGTGAGTCAAAGTGAAAGTCAGAAGGAGTGAACATGGCAATGTGAACTTAACTTCAATACAGCCGCAAGAAAGTCCGCGGGGAGGGGGAGAGAAGGGGGAGGGAAGGGGGAGGGAAGGGGGAGGAGGAAGGGGGGAAGAGGGGACGGGGGGGAGCGGGGGAGCGGGAGAAGGTCGGGAGGGAAAGGCTGACGCTAGCCAGAATAGCTAACATCCTATCAAGCTTATTCGAATCGGCCGAACTGGGGACTCCTAACCAAAAGAGCGACGACGCAGAAAACCTACTGCGACAGGCGGGAATAATAAATCAAAACCGTCGCATCGAGAAACCATTGATGCTTTATCGCGAAAGAATGTCGCCACGTCTGCCAAACAAATCTCCAGAATTTTTTCGTTGCATGCCAAGTCAGACTGACGCGCCCACCGCTGACATGGTGTCCGAACTTCAGAACCGCGATCCGAAAGGAGAGAGCCTGGATGGTGAGTTCCGCTGAGTCCTTATGTTCTGTTGAGATGGCATTCAGTATTTCACGGCGAGATGCGGATGGTGAGTTATCTCGGTTCATTATGGCGTGTTGTTCGCCCACTGCTTAGTGTCACCGGTTTAGTGTGATACTGTGCGCTCTGGTACGGTTTTCCTCTTCACTGCTCGGAATCGTTTTGCACCGCTTTGATTAGTGGTAAATGATTATTACCAAAGCAAACCCGCGCAAGGGTGAACCGTTGCTT